TAAAATAATAATTGAATGCCAATCATCGATAAATGCTTCACTTGAAAACGTTTGGTACGCCTCCACTAATAGTCTTATTCATAAAAGTCGAAATAAACTTTTGAGTAGTTAAATGATAAAAAAGAACTTGAAGATTTCGAAAATAAAGAAATCGTCTTTCATTGGATTTTTGTGCCATCATTCACTCATACATTCAGATTCCTCTCATACAGACCCTGTTTCTTCTTACACTGTTTATTCATCATAATTGAAACTTAATAGTCGAGCGGCTAACATAAAATAAAAAGACGCTTGGAAACTTGGTTACTCCAAGCCTTTTTACTCGTTTTCTTATTAAGGGCATCGTCCACAATCGGAATGCTCACTGTTGTACGTAGAGAGGGATTTAACGTTGATAACTCGGACATTGAGTCGGCAAAAAGCCTTGTCATTGTAGTATTTAATATACGGGAGATCACAATAAAAAACTCCAAGTCAACGTTACGGAGTGTTACGCCATGGAATGCTGTTTATAATACGAACGGAGAACGAAAAATCATTCATCTCTTGTAATGGCGGTAACAGTACACCTACATAATAACAAAATTAAAATTCTATTATGATCTATTGAGGAAAATAAATTGAAGTGTAACGGATCAAATTCCTTTCCCGATGGATTATTGTAAAATAAGTAGCTCGGTGGCGTAGTTGATAAGAGCCGCGGCCTGCGATCGTTGTCGTTAAGCAACTTTCGCAAGGGTCGGTCACGGGATGGGTGACCAAAAAATTATTATCTCGAACTACTCCGTGGTTCGGAAGGTACGTTAAGCCGTTGGTCCCGAATGCATTTACAGTCGTTAATACCCTCCAATCAATGCAAATGCAAACGGGACCAACGGCTTAACGTGCCTTCCGAAGCACGGAGTAGCTCGAGATAATATTTTTTTGGTCACCCATCCCGTGACCGACCCTTGCGAAAGTTGCTTAACGACTACGATCGCGGGCCGCGGCGCTTATCCACTACGCCACCGAGCTACTCGATGCATCCTCCTTATCCTCGTGCATCCTCCTTAACCATCCATAAGGACGGCCTGAGCTTCTGCAGTGGGACGTAAAAGAGCTGATGATGATGATGATTATTAAATAAGGTTGTAACTTAAAGCTTCAAAGTGGTTACAATCAATAACGGCACGGCGATTGTTTCAAATTTTGTTTTAGAATTGTATTTTCATGTGTAGAGCTAATAGATGTCAGCAGGTGTTACTAATTATTAGAAACTCTTGAAGCATGTGTGAAATATCACGTGCCATATCATTTTGCACGGATTCAGTTACAGTAATTAAGCTGTCCAACCGTACAGTCGTTTGTTTCACAAAGACAAACTGAATTTTACATTCCAGAATATTTTAGCGGACCACACGCCACATTGCGTGCGACGATTTGCGACTAAACACCGTACAGAAACACAAACACCCACTTTCGCTTGAATTTCAAGACAATTAACTCTTTAAATGGATAATTGATTTGTTCTAAATACAAGTGGGTTACAAATATTGATAGAATGATAACGCTGTCATTTTTGCTGTTAAATCTTCATTTATTGTTATTATATTGTCTAGTAGTAAAGTCAATTCTGTAATTAATCGTATATACGCTAAGTTCGAGGCCACTATTAATTACCGTGTGTAGGCGGAGAGCGATAGCAATATATCAGATCTGTTTATTTATGTAATCCAGCACAACATTTAAAAACATGAACATATTTTTCCAATAGTAACAAAACGGCATTCTAGAAACCTTTACAACCTTCTAGATTAACAAGTGATGTTAATTAAGCATTGTTCATCATCCTAAAATATATGAGTATAATAAAACAAATTTGCCAATCATAACTACATAAGCATATCTCATAAGAGTATCTAAACACGAACGGGTAACTGCTCTAAACCTACTGACAATAACAACAAGAGAACTGAAATGTCGCAAGAAACACCCACGGAGAGCGTGAGAGTAGCCCAGTATTGTGTCCCAACTGGTTCTCACACAAAAATTCTATGCAAGACCCATCTGCAATGGAGTAAAAATACAGAAATCGCGCGAATTGCACTCTTTACACAACAAAGCATTTTTCTTTTTATTAATCGATGCTAAATTACTGGTTTTGTATATACGAAATAGACAGTGGTATTATTATGGATTATATACTTAAATACTCAATTTTAAACTTTAATGCATACAGTGTAGGTTCAAAATCATGTGAGGAAATTTGACATATAGTGGTAACCTTACCAGACGTATTCATAAGAAAATAACGACAAACTGTCCTAAAGAAATATTCGAAGGGTCTAATGGAGATTGAAACTTAAATAATGAAATTGAAAAAGCTTAACGTTTATCCTAAATAAACATTCTAAGCGAAGTGCAAAGGAAGTTTTCAAATTACAATAATCCAAATAGACCAACCAAAAATATTGTAATTATTTAATTTTAAAGTTCAATTTAATCTACATATTTCATAATCGTGGTTGCGTACATTTTAAATACACAAAAAAAACTATAAATATTGTAATATGAAATCTGAAACCATTAAAAATTTAAATCGACTTAAAACTCTAATTCACTTTAAAGGAATACGACCCAGTTTGATTACACGCCCTAGTACTGATTAGGTACGTCGGCCACTTCTCAAAGTGTTACTAGTGATAAATAATCCTTATCCATTTGCAAAAGCTCTCAATTTTACTACTCGCCCTATAAATTGACTACTAACTTAGAAATCGGCAGCGGCACTTTGACTATTAGAATGAATTACTTCAAATATGCATCAAATTAAAATTCCAGAAATCCCGGAACATTAAACTTCAAGTACTGTTTAACATCTGAACATGGACAATTGGATTAATGATTCGAAGAAAGATATGTGGGATGTCTAGCAATCCCTTTCAAAGATAAAACGATTATAATAGCTAATTTTGGAATTATGTAACGATTAAAGGTGCATTCGCTTTCGATATGATCAATCAAATAATAACATAATAACTTAAAATTCAAGTAATATTTGCATCTAACGCTTGTATTCAAAGATTCCTATTAACGTCAAATTAATGATATCGTTCATTCGATATATTTCAAGAAAACGTCGCTATCCCACATGTCAAATAATTGTAGCGAAGTTAGGTAATATATTTCTAATGTCTAATTGAAAGGTTAAATATTTTAAAATCGGAAATTTAAGCCCATGATCGAAATGGTGATTCTAGTCACGAGCGTTTAAAAAAAATAGCACTGAAACTTTTACGACCCAAAATGGTGGTTTCACACCTTTTTTATAACTCAACTAGCTGCTGCAGGAATACAAAAACAAACACGTTCCCAGAGTTGTTAAAGGATAAAATGGTTTATTCAAAGACAATTCCTCGAATCCCGAGCAGAGTTAATATTATCCAAACTATTATAGCATAAAAATCTTTTCTTATCAATACAAAGAACTACAAATGACACAATACGAAATACGATGGCGGTTATAATAACTATCGTACCGTACGATAATAATAAACACAAACATTGGGAAGAAAAACCAAGAAAAAGCAAATATGTAACTATGAGTTAATGATTCATAAGAAAATGAGGTTCTAACTGTTTGAATTACTATGACTCATTTTATTCGACTGATTTATTCCATAGCATGTGTCATTAATGCATCAATTTAAAATCTTCGAATGTGTAATAGCAGATGTCTTTAAGATTGTTTTAACATGAGGTAAGTACAGTTTCAAATAGGATGGTATAGGTGACACATTCATGGGACGTATACCTATTAGCGTCAAAATTGAGGGTGAGAATTTTAAGAAACGAAATATGTAAACTCCATTTTTAATGTAAATATAGTTCTGCAACTCTTTATCATTTGTGTTTTGTTCAGTCAGTACTATAAGACTGTTAATGAGATTTATAAGATTAACCTTTACAATATTTTAAAGTTTTACATAATCGCAAATTAACCGTTTGAAATATTTCATATAATTTTAGTAAAAACATATTTTGTGGATTGATATTAGAGTAATGTCTATTAATTCTATTAAAAATATACCATCAAAATTTATAATCGATAATAAAATTGTTTGTAATATGGAGTACCCTTAAAGTTGTCCAATTTATTATATATTACTGCCCTACTGGAAACAGACCAAAACCATATTACGATAATACGTAAAAATTGTAGTTAGTACATCTAAACTTCTTCGGAAGGCACGTTAAGCAGTTGATTTTCCTGGTTGCATGCATCTGCAGTCATTAATAGCCACCATTCCGAACTAAGCCTGCGTCATCACGCCAACCCGCCGCTGCGGATACCTCAGCGACGGGGAGGATCCTAGATCCAGCCAGGAGCTCGCGCGATTCAACCTCATTCGCCACACCGCCCATTAGTTACAGCCAGTTCTCCTTACGTGATTCTACACAAGAAGTGCCCTGGTAGTGCGTAAATTAACGTCTAATATTGAATTTATAATAATTTATGTAATCAATTTATACGGTCATTTAGATCTTGATTCATTTTCTTAACTATACCTAAATGTAGTTTGCTTATACGTTATAACATAGTTAAAACATTGAAGTGTATTATTATCAATCGTGGCTATCTTGTAGACCTTATCGAGTTTAATCTTCTTTTAAAAAATCTGAATATAATCTACTATCTGTTGATTTAATATGATTTTTTTTAGTTCTTCTATAATATTTTTGTAGTTATACTTTTGTCTTAATTAGATATACATTTTCAAAAGTGACCTACAATATTTTGTTATCTTCATTAACATCATTAATATGTAAGAGGAAATTCTACAAACATTACTATGAAAATAATTTAAACTGTAGGAAGTTTACAGGTCATCAATTAGAAATATTAAATAATAATTTAATACGTTTACAAATAATGGCATTAAAATATTAATATAAATAACATTAGACTATAAACTTAACGCAACTTATATTGTACCATACAAACAATAGCGTGAACTCACCTAATATTCAACTTCCAAGCACTGAAAACTGTTCACTGGTAATGTATTCAGCCCTCGTCTGGGGCGTTCACAAGTAAACAAACTCCATAGCACATTGCACAAAAATCCTGAGGGCAGAGTAGTGTCACGAGCACAGCCAAGCGATCGATCGCGCGCGAGTTTCTGCTAGCGTCGCGACACAACAGTCGCGCGCGGAGGTACGGCGCGGAATGCGAGGCTGGAGTTTGCGAGTGCGCACGCGCATCCCGAGAAACACGTTGAGTACACGTAACATACCGCGCTGATGCTGTGCGTAAAATATAATTGTTAATAATATATTTTTTATATATAGATTCTACTTTTTATAGATTTTGTATTAATTTTGAAGTTCTATATTTAAATTGAATCAGCAAAGACGTTTTACACCTGATCCTCGCATTACTTCAGCTTTCCTCGGGTTTCGCTTTTTTTTTACTATCGATAATGATATTTAAATAAATATTAATTTTGTAGAATTATTTGAAAAAAAAATAATTCTTGACGTCTAGAGAGCACACTGCACAATTACTATTTTTAAACAAATAAGTTTTTGGAATGAAATTCGGATACAAAATCATATCTCATAAATTCTGAAATGTATCACACAAGTGATAAATTTAAAATTATCAGCCCTATAAGCCAGTTCGCTGGCATAAAAGGAATATTCTTGTTTTTTACTGGAATCGCGCGCATGTTTTAAATATTTTCCATGTGAACGGGAACTTTTAAAAGCTGTTGAATGAAGAAAGATAAAATAAATGAGTGTATCGTACTTTTACATAAACTCTCAAATTTTGCAGTTAAACTTATTTTGTATAAAAAAAACTGTCTCACATACACAGACTTGGATTTAGGATATTTCCTTAATTTTGGAAGTCAACATTTTTCAGCTACATCTGGCAACTGCTAAATGCAGCTCAATATTTCTTTTGATATTCAGAACACTAATAACAAGTCCTACTAATATTATAAATGTGAAAGATTGTTAGGATGGTTGTATGTATGGATATATGTATATATGTTTGTTAGTTACTCTTTCACGAAAAAATTACTGGACGGATTTTGATGGATTTAGTATACGGCTACTTCTGAGCGTAGATTAACATATAGCCTACTTTTTATCTCACTAAAGAGTTTCCTAGGGACCATGCGGGCGAAGCCGCTGGTGAAAGCTATATTTAAAATATTATATTTGTTAAATTTTGCGTTCACGATGCTATACTGATAAATATCTTTAATTCCGGATTGTAAAAGGGTTTAAGTCCCATCTCGGGGTACCTGAGCCTTATGGATATTAATATAGTCACTGTTTTATATATTGTAAACTGTAACCCTATGGTAACCCTATGGTATATGGTAAACTGTAAAAAACTATTTTATGAATATCGAATCCATATTAAAAATATCTTCTCTTCCCTAACTATCAAAGTTGTGGTTATAGAGTAATGATAAGTTATTGTAAAATAAACAATACGCGTGCAAAGGTATGTACAGTTGTAAACGATCACGCGACCGATTAGCCCTCACAGTAACTGCGCAAGCGACGACGGCGTTATATACAATCGGCACGTGAAGTAATAATAGGATCAAAATAATTATAATATTCTCTCAAAATTCATTGCCATATCTTTCGCTCAATTTTTGTATCAGAGTAACATCTGTGTCTGAAGAAGGTTTATTTTATAAATATACTTGACGACCCGGTTGCAGTGCTCTTTCTTGTTTATAAAATAAGTAGCTATTTGGTTCAACCTTGTATGGATGATAAACGTCGTATCATAAGCCTATGTTTGCGCTGCTGGGAAAAAACCTTTCCCATTTATAAAACCAAATGTTATAGGAAGAAAGGGCGATGACCCACCACGCGGTCCCAGTATGGATTGCTGATTGTACTTACGAGTGCCTTCCTTAGTACAGTCGAGATGTTAGAGTTTTAGCCTCCCGTCATATGACAGGCCCTTGCGCAAGCTATCTTTCACATTACTGACCAAATGTGTTAACAACAGCGAGTTCCTCGCGATAGCTATACATAAAAATAGAGCCGAAAAACGCCTCGAAATCGTTAACTAGACCACGCTTTAATGACGTTAAAAGTCTAACAGACACAAGGAATAGAGTTAGAAAATAGATTATTCAACAATGATAATTAATAAAGACAGGAGCGATTCACACATAAGCAAAAAATCTGAATTATCCGAAATTTTGAGGGCATTCTAAAATCCACTTGTATTTAAAGTCCGACCAGAACTTTGAAGCGTTAATCCGATAGGATTATAATATTAAACAGTAGTAGTCAACAAAAAAACATACTACTAACACTACGTAACAAGGATTTGCGGTCAAATGTTAATACTGGTAAAAGTGAAAGATATTTAGCCGTCTCGATACTGCAAGATTTGAAACATTGACAACCAAAGGATTCACTTCACTGACTTGACTGTCCTGAGTATTTGTGTTCGAGACGCTGACGTCAGCTATTGTGCCAACCTGAATACTTCCACAAAATGAAAGGTAACAAGCGCCGACGCTTAAATCACAGATACAGATTTGTGACACTGCTATGACTGTACTCTGCAACTTACCTTTAAAGACCTTTAAAATATAAAATGAACTTAAACCATTTTTATTTTTCTAAAAAAAAATTATAGTAAACAAGACATGCAATTGTACATTAATATGCCGATGATCAGAAATCGCTAGAAACTTAACTAACGAGGCATTGAATTGTAAAAACAAAATGAAGGAAGACTGCGCAGCCGCAACCGGCGCGGTTAGTTCCGCGTCATAGTCCGCTGATTCTAAATAAAACTGCGAACAATATTGAATCGTGGATAATATACTACAATATAATTGATATTGAATTTAATGAGCCTTGTAAACTAAGAATAGGTTTTAATAATAGTTTTTATTTAATTAAAATATGATTATATAAAACTATCCAGCATTAAAAAAATATATTTGCTAGCTTTCCACAAGCAGCTTTGTCCGCTGGGTAGATAGATACATGATTTTACTTATAAACTTTCAATCCCTATTACACCCCTTATTAGTAGAATTTCTACAAAATAAAAGAGGTATTAACTAACAATATTAATCACTGGCCTAAAAATAAAGTTTTCTGTCGCTAACATCGAAAATAAAGGACTTTTTTCTGGGCTTATCAGTATGAAAACTAGACCACGCAGGCATAACCGCTGGCGAAGGGCTAGTATTTAAATATTGATAAAGATGTAGCTAATGGCGGACTAAATATAGACATTCCCAATTAAACGCCTTATCAGCGGCCCTTCCTCATGTCGTAGTTATGTAATGAAGAAATATGCTGCTTCTTTTTTATATTTTTCATATCATGCATCTTATAAGTTCAGTATTTAGTGCCTAGAATATTTCTGACAGAAATCTATTCAGACAGGTCACAAATGAAATATTCGACTTTCGTGACCCCTTGGTTCGCCCCTCAGCACGCTAAGCACTAGCTTCTTAAGTTTTTTTATTCTTGGCTTTACTCGCTCTCGAGTTTCATTATATAAAAGAGTCATGCGTTCACAGATTTCAGTGGGTGATGTGTTCTTACTAGTTTTCATAGCGCGCTTGGTACGGCGCTCGCGACCTTCGGCGACGCGTGCGCAGTACTCGATGAGTCAGCGGTCACGCTCCGTGGCCCGAGGCATTGTTCCTACACCGGTAGCCACCATTAGTTGACCAATTTAGCCATATACAACTCATTACGGTATTATTTGCTAGAGACGCAAACTCTGAAGTAAATAAAACCATTGTCATTGTCACAGCAATATTTGTGTGTAATTTAATTAATGTATATTTGTATATTAAACGTGTCCATCTTGTATTTCTATTGGAGTGAACATAACGGGGCACTGAGGAAAAAGACTAAAGAAATTTTTTATAAATAACGCGATAAAATCGAAAATTTTCTGATTTTTTATTTTTATTTTATCGTGTCGATTCTTAGGTGTCTCTAAGGTCTTTTTCCTCAGTGCCCCGTTATGTATACCTACTTATTTCTATAACATCCCATTCTTTCTAATTTTTTTAAATAAAACCCACATATTTAAATCAAAATAAAGAATTTATTTTTAAAAAGCTTGTATCAAAATTTCTCAACAAAACATTTATGTAAAATGTTAGTATTATAGAACCATAGCATCTGCTTTCAGAGCTCTTTTTATTTTTTCTGAAATCACATTTCGAGGCAGGGTGGGTTTGGCGTCGGAAACAGTACGTCTGTTCTCCAAGTTCAAGTTACGACGGCCAACATGGCGGCACTTCCGGCGTTAGTTTGTGTTACCGCCACGCACCAGTGGCGCCACTCCATTACTGTGCCGGCATAATCTGATGCCCTTACTTTGAAATGATGGACATGGATAGATACTCCAAGAACAAAGGCTCTAAATCAGAACTCGTTTGTTATTTCTTCAAAAACAATCACATACATTATCGACTACTCAATGACTGGGGTAAAAATAAGTAATGTAAGGAATTAAAGTGATTTCAATATCTGGATTTGGCTAATAAATGAAAAATCCTGCGTCAATAAGTATGTACACTATTAGTCTAGGCAGACATTTACAGAGCTACACGTGCACGCGTCATCAAATTTTTGAATGTTGTCATTTAAAACTAAATGTGCCCTCCAATCCGCATTGGGGCCAACGTGGAGGGTCATGGCCCATTCTCCTTAACCATCCATAAGGAAGGCCTGAGCCCCTGCAGTGGGGACGTAAAAAGGGCTGGTGATATAAAACTAAATGACTAAAACTAAAATAAATATTACATGTACGCGCTTTAGAGATTTTCTGTCATCGTTAGCTACTTATTATTTCTATCACCGTACTTCTGACATATTTATGGAGTTACCTAAATGACCACTTGACAATTTTAGTAAAAGTATTTTAACACTTTCATATTATCATAATTATTCCCTATTACATTTCATTTTCTCCAAAAATTGTTATTATATAATGGAAAATCTTATTTATCATCATTAATTTTAATTGTCCGAGAAACAATCAGTGACATGACATTTCAAGCCGTGACGTCACATTTCAATAAACATAAGTACTCCTTGCACTCGCAACATGTTTTTGATGTTTATTTTATTGAAATGTGACAACACACGATGCTCCGACATAGCCGCCCATGTTTCGGTTCTTATAATCCACAGG